TTTTCTCTTGACGAGGGGCAGGTGGGGCACCTAGCAGCCGGAATACCGTTGCTCGGGATTTGTTCAGTATAGCCCAACATTTTCTGTTAAGGAAGATGCCCCTACCCTCCAGTACGATGCTTGTATCTTGATGGTTTTGTTCGGTTTTCAGTTTCTGCCTTTCCTGTTCTATGAAATGGATAATTTTGTAACTCAGATCTCGGACGGTCGTCTCATAATCTGATCCCTAGTTCTCGAGACAGTATTTTTTCAACCGTTTGTCCTGTTTGTATTTACATTTACACTCTCCTGCCAAATTGTGTGCGGTATTTGTTTTCTCCTCAGAACTTGGTGAAACCTAGTATGAAGTAATCGCTGTTGTTTGCAATTATCGTTGTCAGTTTTAGAGAAATAGTGCTTTTTTATGTACACGCACATTCTTCTTTGATGAGCCACAATCAGAGAAGAAGGGTATGCCTGTTTTGACTTTACAAACAAAACTACTATCCAAGGTACTGTTCGGTGGTAATCCGCCCTCGAGGTGTATACCCATTACAATTTTTATATAAAGACCACCACTACTTTTTCAACATCAGTAACACAGGTGTTTGGATGGAGCGAGATCGCGCAATATAAGGATAAGACATTTTTAACTGATGATTCATAACTTCACATGGAATGAAAAATCTTTATTTACTAGAGAATGAGACTGTGGGATTTCGTGCTTGTTTCCTCATCGTGAAAAGGCAGAACGATCTAAAGTCATATAAAGATTAATAAGTAGAAATGCCTGCCACACCACTTTTATCCATTTCGGGAACATTTTAGGATAAATTTTACGCAACATGCATCTATTTATAGGTTGGATGAATTCAACTGAAACTCTGAGAACATCGATGGCGTTGAAATAAAATGCTCAAAGTCAAGTGATCATACAATTATACGATGCTTAGAACGTCGCCTCACCTTGATCCTCTGAAAGAGCCTTAAAGCTGAATCATAACATGTAATTAATGTGATGCATTATTTTTATCACCTCATTCTTTCGCAAGGTACAATATGTTGCGTATGCTCTACACAACAAAATTCTGCTATTCGATCATGTGACACGGAAAGTGTTGGTCCAGTTTGGCAAATGATTGGAGACACCGATCGGGTACCTATAAATATACTGAGTGAAAGTGTAAAAGTGTACTGTAACTTCCTCCATTTCGACTTATGATGAAAAAGTTTAAACTTTTAATGTCATGCTTCCGTTTTGCCACATTCTTTTCTGCTTATGTCTCTGATGAAGAATCTGCGACGGATGCCGAAACTTTAGGTCAATAAAAGTGTCGTCCAGCGATCGGATCTTCCTCTCAATTATTTTGATAATTTCGCCAGAATTTAAAGTGGGCTTCTTATTTAAATAGAAGTCAGCTTCTTGGATCTAATATGAGAAAAGTCAAGTTAGACAAATTTGTCCAATTTGGCCTAAGAGAAATTTGAAGGAGAGCCTATTCTGTCAAACAAGTTAGAACAATGAGAACTTTTGAGATTGTGTAAACAGCAAAATTCATTGGATCCATTAATTTCGAGAGTACTCATCAGTTACTTCCTCTCGTAGCGTGACGTGAATAACGTCAGGGACAATACAAAATTGAATTAATATAGAAAATTCGATACAAACAGCAGGGTCACAGGAAACGGCCAAAAGGCAATCAATAAAGTAAGAAAGTTAAAACGCTGACGTTATTAACGTTACGCAACGAGCGGAAGCAACTGATGAGCACTCGAAATTAACGGATCCAATAAATTTTGCTGTTTACACAATCTTAAAAATTGCACCAGGTAAAAGAAGCTTTAAACAATGAGAAACAAAGCACAGTGCACAACAGAGATTACATTAGTTTCTCTCATCTCTTCCTGGAGGTGAATGATATAGCTATCGCAATTTATTAACGAAGGAGAGTAAGGAAACTGTAGTAAAAAACACCAAACACATGCTTTTTATGTTAACTGTTTATTTTTGGTGGTTGCTTCATAGTAAACCACAATTTACCACTGTCTATAGTTATGGCTTACCCCTATTACTTTACATACGCCAATAAACGTGGTGTACTAAGAGGGAAAAGCCCTATTTCTTCTATGAGACTAAGGTGCTGATCTAGGATAATCAGTGACTAACCACATTACCAGAGAGTTTCGTTTAGCAGGGAATAAATAAAAACGAGCCACAAACAGAGCGATATGAGATTAATCACGTATTCTACAATATCAGACTGTCTTTAGGCGTAGATTGTGGTAAAAAAAACACATTCTGAAGCCGCACATAAACTTTGGAGATTGGAATGTATCCTAAAAAATGCTGCTTACAAGTGCGACGAAAAGCACCCTTGATTGATTAATGATATGGCTGGCAGGAAGGTTTGCAAAGCCGCGAGGTAAGGCCGCCTGATTAAAAAGGTCCTTTGAAGTGCAGACACCTTCCGCTTAAGAAAAGTAGGATCAAAAACGCACACGGGAAGGCGAGTTCAAGGAAATATTTTGGAAGCAGGATTCTCGATCGCTAAATTTTGTCTGCCTGTTGAGCAGAGAAAAGCAGTGGTTTCACAGTGTTCGGCGAGATCGAAATCCATTTGACACCTCAGTAGTTGCTTGAATCATGTTTCTACGACCTGTATTCCATGAAGTCAGGTCTTAATTTCCTACTGAATGTTTGGGCGTTTCTAAGGTAGCCACACGTGGCCAGCGGGAGTAAAAACGAGTGCTGTAAGTTGAAAGAGTAGTATAGGCAGATAATATTGCCGGCAAAGACAAGGGAGACTGGACCGGTCATTTCTTGCTTATTAGCCGTCGTCAGACATTCATGCCCAGACCCAAGTGGTGTCCAACCCGAGCCTCGATCCCGCGACCTCTTTGGTCAGAGTCAAACGTCCTGAGCCTCGAGCCACGAGCTCGTTGTCTGGCTGACGACGACCAATAAGCCAGAAATGGGCACTCCAGTCTCTCATGTCTCTCCCGGCATTACTATCTGCCTATACTGCAAGCTGCTAAGACAGTCAGGGGCCTTGTCGAAGCCCTAGGCAGAGCGGGACAGATGGGTTCCGTTAGGGGTCGGGTAAGCTTTCATTAATGTCTGTCGAGGATCCTTAACAATGGGAAACCGGAGAATGGTGTGAGACATGCGCAGATTTGGATGATACAGGCACAGATTGCGCGATATTTATAGTTCTAAGTGGCCATCCACATGCGTACTATAATAATGAGCTCCTGTTACTACCAATTGGGGTCATAATTGGTGTGCAATCTGTGCATGTATCACAAAAATTTGCGCATGTCTGACACCATTAGGCGTTTTCCCTTGATTAAGGATTCTCCACTGAATCCGAAACATCAGAAAAATAAAATTCTTCTTCCAGTGATGGCATCTTCTTCTTCTTCTTCTTCTTCTGAATAGAGAATGCTAACATAAATAAGGCGTTTACGCGCTGTTTCCATTAACCGACTCATCACAAACCAGGACGCATGTTAGGAGCAAAACATGTATTCGGAATTTGTTGTAATAGATGAAGTTTGTAACTTTATGCAATATAAACTCAGAAGCGATCCATTGCCTCTTTTGGAGAAAAATAAAGCATGTTCATTTAATGAAGTGCATGCGAATATCTTATGCAAAGATTCAAATAATGTCCATACCAGCATAAACCAGCATGTTCAGCTTTATGGCATCATTCCTTGTAGTTTCGTTCACGGACCTAGCCTACACCATGAAACGCTACATGGTCATTTCCAAAGCAAATTACGTTCTTTCCAAACAAGAAAATACAGACGTAGTGGGATCAATCTGTCGCAAATATTTCATAAAAGCTCGAACTTTGATGCGGATACTGTTTTGATAAACATCTAATAGATAATCAACTAATTAGTCTTCATTCCAGCTGTCAGGTGCCGTTCGTTGACACTTTCGTCAGAGTAGGGCGATGCCTAATCCTACGATGCCAATCAAAGCGGGGTTCACTTACGCCGACGTTAAAAAGGACTTACGGGTGCCTCTATTTTGCGATCACAGTTAAACGCCCCAACCATTGAGTCACGAGCTCGTTGTCTTGCCGGCAATATTATCTGCCTATACTAACAGCTGCTACGGATTTCAGAGCTTCTGTCAAGGCCCAGAGCAGAGCGGGACAGATGAGTTCCATTATGGGTCGGGCGAAGGCTCATTAACGAGTGTCAATATCCCCGACCTAAACCGACAGGGAAACCAGCCCGTGGCTTAATGTTTAGAGCGTTAGACTCGGATCGAAAAGGTCGCGTGTTCGAGGCTCGGATGGTGCACCATTTGGGTCTGGACATGACTGGCTGACGACGGCTAAAAAGCCAGAAATGGCCATTCCGGTCTCCCTTTGCT